CCTTTTAGCACGTGGACATTCGAATTCTTCTTGGTTGCCAACAGCGSTGAGGAAATCAAGCTTCTTCTTCTTTGACCAGAACATTGGATGGTGTAACAACATTGATGCAGTCGGTCTTTCTTTCTCGTTAGTACAATTGAGCATTCCTTTGACGCGATGAGATGATTCCGGATCGAGGGACTTGCTCCATCCTTCCATATCATTCTTCAAAATGTTGCCTTGTGTTGCAATATTGATTTCATAGTCACTTTTTCCAGTACAGTCTGCTGGGCTGAATGGATGTTTTTTATTTGACAAGATGTAGTGAAAGATAAGACCAAGCGAAAAAACATCTGACCACATAGAATGATCTTGAGTGTTTGATTTGATTACCTCCGGTGCGATCCAGCCAGGAGTACCGACTCCGTTGGTCATAACAGTAAAGGAAGCATTGACGTCTACGCGACGGCTCAAACCGAAGTCAGCAATCTTCAGGCAGAGTTGGGGATCGGTTTTGTAAAGAATGTTGTTTGGTTTGAGGTCGCGATGAATGATGTTCTGCTCATGAAGATACTTTAAGCCTAGTGCCACTTCTCGGCAGAACACTTTGGTTTGCCTTTGGTCGTAAACATTACTGGCAAAATATCCGTCCAGATCTCCTTCCATCAATTCCATAATTATAAAGGAAAATTCATCGGTTTGAAGGAAAGTTAAATAACGAACAATATGCTCGCATTTAGGAAGAGAAGCAAGGCTTCTAATCTCTCGAATATCTTCGTCTCGATCCTGTTGCGTATAACGGACTCTTTTAACGGCTACTTCCATGCTGTCTTTTTCATGAATGCCTACGAAGACTTGTCCGAATGCCCCATGGCCGATTTCCTTGTTATGATACCAATATGGCTTCTGAACATTACAKTTGAGCCCTCTTGCAACTTCAGCTAGCTGGTTCTTGTGTTTCTGAGAACACGATGTCCAGGGTATGATAAAAGGTCTTTCTTCCATTGAGACAGGAGTAGAAAGTAGAGCGTGTAGAGGTGGACATCCTTCAGCAATATCCAGGCAAGATTCACCAGGTGCACCGTAGCGAAGAAGTTGTTTAGCAATTTCATAATGAACAGAATCAGGTTTCGTTSCTTCTTTGATATTCTTGCAGCAGGATYGAAGTGGTGTGATCAAATCTAATGAGCATCTTGTGGATTTTAGGTTTTTGAGCACTTTGTCAACAAGAATACTTTTCCAGGTTGTATGTGTGGATTCATYTTTGCAGATAGCATTCAACACGCCAAAAGTTTTATCCGATAGACTTTGGCTGTTCTTACATGCAATTTCAATTAAGCTATCAGCTAGCTCAAAAGAGTTTTCCTTTATAAGAATACTAATGATAGAATCTCCATTCTCGTCGCAAGTCCACAAATCAAAATGCATGCCCATAACAGTTTCCCAAAACTTCGGTGCCTCATCTGGTGAAATGTCCGGATAAAAACAGCCGGGATTCTCAAGAAAAAGAAGATTCTTTGCTGCTGAAAGTAAAGGAGATCGTCCTGATTTGTCTACATCATTCGTCTTTGCTTCTGCTTTTACCAATAGTTTAACGGAAGTCCAGGTTCTGCACATATGAAGAGGAGTTTCGCCCTTCAGATTTCTTGCATGATGAACGGCTTTACAACTCAAAAGCAGGTCAAGTATCTTTTCTGAAGGTCCCTGCCAATTCATTCTCTCAGAAGCATGCTGATTACGTTTCCCTGTTCTTGATTTTTGCTGTGATCCGGCCGCCCAAACATGAAGAGGAGTATTCATTTCATCGTTAGTACTGTTAACAATATGGCTGATGAGTTCGCGTTGTTCTTGAGAAAAAAATCGTAATTTTTCCATTATGCATCGCTCTAAAGATTCCTCGTTTGAATCTCCCACACTTGAAAGCTTGATTAAGAGATGAAATACTGAGTCGCCGGTTTGAGTTCTATCGTTTAATATTGCTCTGTCGTTTTCAAGGAAAAAAATGCACATATTTAAAATGAATTCTCTATTAAGCCTTCTCTTATTAACAGACAATGTTAGCATAAAGAGAAAAGGCCCTTCCTTCTTGCAGTTTTTCTTGTTGATCATCAGTCCCCTTTTCTCCAACCCAAGGAGAACATCAAAAACACTTTTAGCTTCAACAGTGCTATCATGCATCCCTCGTGAAGTGATGTGGTGAGCAATGGTGTTGCCGAGCTCATCACAAGTATTTGGATCAGCACCAAGTTCCAGAAGTTCATTGAGCCTTATTGATAAATCAGTTACTGATATAGAATATCTGTCTCTTTCAATCGAATCCACCAGCTTTTGAAGTGAACTGCATTTTTTATCTCTCCTCAATGAGTTCCTAAGTCCTTCCTTTGATAGTTTGTTACCATAAGTAAGACATGACGTTATTGAGATGGTGTTTATTGGACTTTGTGGCAATTTACAGAATACGGCATTGACGAGTGCATTCACTATTGTTTGTTTCTTGACTCCATTATCTTTTAAAAAAGGAAACGTTTTTTCTATTAACTTTTTATCGGGCCCTCCGTTATTAATACAATGATGAATGAAATACGATAACACGCTTACATTATAGTTGTCTGTCATGTGAAGATTTGCACCATTTTCTACGAGATATTTAGCGGATGAGATGGACTCGACCAACGCAAAAAACAATGCTGTCCTCCCTATATTATTCTTTGAGTCAACCGGTGCTTTGGCTTTGTATATTAGTGCTCTAACAGACGCTTCATTCTTCACATTATATATCAAAGCTGTATTGCCTTTGTCATCAGACTTGTTTGCGTCTGCACCAGCGTCGATCAGGTCATGAGTTAATTTTCCGGCATCAAAATCGTTGTAATCCTTATTGGAATCTGCTAAACCAATATACATCAAGGCCACTCTTCCTTTTTTATCCGTCTCGTTGACGTTAGCACCACGTGTGATTAGTTCCTTCGCAACTTTCATCTTTGCATGTATCACAGCTGTAATCAACGCTGTTTGGCCTTGATTGTCGACAGCATTCAAGTTTAGATCTTTACTGTGCTCAATTATTTCAMAAGCAGTGTCTTCGTCTYCCTGAGCAATAGCATGCATYAATGCTGTTYTGCCTTCTTTATCCTTTATGTTSACRTCAGYWCCACRTYTGATAAGTACCTKCGCAACTTTCATCTTTCCATGTATCACAGCTGYAATCAACGCTGTTTGGCYTTGATTRTCRACAGCATTCAAGTCTAGATCTTTACTGTGCTCAATTATTGCAAGAGCAGTGTCTTCGTCTCTCTTAGCAATAACATGCATCAATGCTGTTTTGGCTCCTCTATCCATCACTTTGACATTACCACGACGTTTGATAGGAGCATTAATAACACATTTCATCAATGCTTTTTGGCATTGATTAACGACGCTATTTACACTGAAATCGTTGCTAGATTTGCTGATTAGTGGAGCAGCTATGGAATCTCTCTTAAAATCTATTGTGTACATTAATGCTGTTTTGCCTTCTCTATCTTTCATGTTCACATCAGCACCACATCTGATAAGTACCTGCGCTACTTTCGTCTTCCTATGTACAGCAGCTTTTATCAATGCTGTTTGRCCTTGATTATCGACAGCATTCAAATCTAGATCTTTACTGTGCTCAATTATTGCAAGAGCAATGCCTTCACTGTTCTGAGCTATGGCATACATCAATGCTGTGTTGCCTTCTTTATCCTTCATGTTGACATCAATTCCACCGTTGATTAAAGCAATCGCCATTTCGGGTATAGAATAGCGACAGTGTTGCGCGAGAATCATTAATGCTGTTTGATCGTTTTCATTTACTGCGTTGACGCAAGCCCCGCCTTCTATAAGTCGATGGACTTGTTCTAAGTCTCCATCTCTTGCAGCTTTTATCAATGATATTCCAGCAGAATCTACACCCGCCATGGTGCAACGCTATAGTTTTATTTCTGAAATATCAGTTAGTTTGATATGAAGTGTTAAGGTTTTGTCGGTTGTACATACATTCCTCATAACAGACCATAACAGTGATTTTGGCGCCGTGTCTTTATTATAATAAGCTGCAACAAACAATCATTTACTTATTGTCGAATTTTGCCACACTTATTTTTCTTTTGAATTTCCTAATCCACCCATTTGTTATTTACGTTTTTGTTTTATATTTGCTTGTAATGTTTGTTTTTCACGTTTCTTAAATGCAGCAAACCTGCATAATGTTTGGCTAAAAAAGATTTGTTTATAGCTCAATGACAATTGTTTACATACGTAAAATATTTTTGACATTACGCACGATAAGAATCATTGCATTTAACTCTTCATCTACAGTTTATACAAAAACATAAACAACTATATATTAAAGAGTGGAAATCTCGATTTCCTGACATTTTTCACATCAAAAACAGCTAGGTACTGATTCTTTCTTGGTTTCAGTTCCTTACTTATCACATGCTATATCATGAAATTGATATTATTCCAGAGATGAGAAATTTGCGACAAACAATAGTCTAGAATGTACGTCTGAAACAAGGCTTTTAGAGTGTGTAATATCTAATGATAGTATAAAATATCTAAGTTCTTATATCATAAACGAGATAATGAGTTACAAAATTGGAGAAAAATAGACAAGAAACTCAACAACTTGCTCATGTTAGGCATTGATGAATAGGCTTTCAACTAGTTGAATGTTAAATGACAAATTCCGTCTATATAACTTTGTGAATATGCAAATCAATATTTGTTACCTGTTTTTCCTCTACATCTTGAATATTCTTGTTGAGTTTACTGTAAAAAATAAGAGCTCAATTTTATTAAAAGTGATATACTACAGTGACAATACATACAGTTGGCTATAGTAGATCGATAGCGAATGTTATCTGGAGCTAATGATCATCAATCGATTCTGCAGGCAGACCTACGTATTTAAAGTTTTTATGGTCAAAAACGGCTTATATATTTTTAGTTAGGAAATTTTCATTTTCCTGCTAAAAATTCGTAGAAAGTATTCCTTGCCTGGAGAGTTCTTTTTTCCTGAATTTCTAGCTGGCAAATCAGTTGTGGCTTACAGCTGGCTGGGACATAAGAACAGATATATTTCTCCAAGGAACCCGTCGGCTCCTCTTAAGCTTACATGTAAGTTACAGCCGAAGACCCTGTTTTACTACCCTTTTTTACAGCCTGATTAAACAATTGTGAAAAGGTTTGAAAACTGTGCTAAAACTGGTTATGCTCCATCTGAGTGTTGCTTGTCTTCGCTGCTGCTTGCGAGTGTGACAAGGACCTAGTGAGGAAAATTTCTGCACTGTCCATCGAACATGTGTATTTTAACTGCTTACAATTGCTTCCTTACCTTTTATTTACTGTGCATCAAACGATATTTTTTTGGGGGGGTCTGTTTGGCAATTAGATTTCGTAGATGAGCCTCCTGAATGAAATTAAGAAATTAAATGTTTGTTTAGTTAAGTTTTTGTTAAGTGAACAGTCAAGGCACTAGATCATTTCATTTCACCTTCCAATCTTTTCAAGTTGATATTTGGAAAATTGATCACAACGCACTAGATTACTGCAGTATTATGTGGTGAAAATCTGTAAAGAAAATAAGCAAGTTAGACTCAATACCTGCGCAAAACATACAAAGTAACTTCAATAAAGAACTTTATTTATAACTTGATTCAGATTGCGCTCGACCAAGAAAAACGCATTTTAGTAATTGTGAAACATTTAACTGCCTCAATCAACTGCAAAACCTTCAGATGAATCACGCACAACCGTTTCACACTATCCAAAGTACCTTACCTTTTAGCTTAGGTGCTCGCTGCTCGATCTTCAGTAGAAAGTGTGAAAGGAAGTAAACGACGAAAGACGTCTGCAGGGGTTCTTTGATCACTGAACCGTGATACCATATAAGGGCATGGAATGTTCTACAAGATTTTATTAAGGAGAGAAGGACACACTCTCAAGAGCTCATGAGAAATACTAATTCGTTCAAAGTCCATTTCTGTCCATCACTAGATACTGGTAAACTTGTGATAAACCATCTATTGGGCAATAAAAAAGATCATAGCACGTTTTATTAGAATAACAAGTCTTGCAGAGAATAGCTCAACCGTGTTGTCTTGTCAAATTAGTAAATCAAAATAGGTCACATGCAGCATGTTTGTCAATATCAAACTTTGTGCCTCACGGGAGGTATTTCATGAACAAAGGGTTCTACTATGAGGGAAATTTCCCTATAACTTATATTCTTTCAACTATGTTGGATCAACATTCTGTTATTTTTCTATGAAGAAAGAAAATTTGACAAATGCAGGTTTTTTTACAAACTTTCACTACTATGAATTTTCCGCCATTTTGTTTTTGACTACGATAAGCCGCTGACCGTAATATGAAGACGCGAGCCAATTTCCCGAGCGATGCACATAGTAAGACAGTTGGTACGCCTGTGATCACTATAAACGGGGCCAGTAGTAATAGCATTCAACAGGGAAAACAGAGCAAAATGTCGGACAGAGCGTTTTATTGAGAAAACATGTACAGGAGTGCTTTGGTAAGCGTCGTATGACTATCACATGAGGAAACGCTCCATTGATGCACAGCGAAGGACACTTTATTTACTTTAAATTATCGAAGTTTCTAGAACTATACTGCAAACGTCAGTCCCATCTTTAGCGTCTGATTATATACTGACTTGTATGTAGACAATTTGTAAGTTATCGAAAGATAATCAGCTTTTTAGATGGCTTAAACCAAGATCAATGGCGATTCATGTAGACGTGTTTACTTCAGTGTTGTAATAATAAGCCTCGTCGCCCGAGGGAGATATTTCATCGAACAAAGGGTTCTTCCAGTCTACTAGTCAAGGGAATTTTCCCTAATCAAATTGCATAACTTTTATATGTAAACAATATCTGGGAACGAAAAGAAAAGCGCAAAAAAATGAGAAAAGATGGAAATAAGATGAACAATTTCCTTCAGACAATTTTCTTGTTTCTATTTCCCCTATTCTACAAATTTTTCTTATTCTATTTGTTATTTATTGACTGTTAGTAATATTTATACTTGCACATTACTTATTTACTAATACTAATATTGCATGTTTAAAGTTTATTCTGTAATAAAACTTTCATTGTTTACTGTAGTAATAAAAAGACTGATTCCCCAAGTCGTCATAATCTTTCTTCACGGTAGATTTTCGATTTGTCACTTAAACTTGCTGAAACAGCAGCACGTAATCTACCAAAAAATCCAATCGAGAGGGCACTGGGACCGACGTATGGGATAGTCTATATCACATATTTAGCTATTTCCAACATTGACACTAAAATGCAATAGTATTCTGCATACACGCTGTATATGTTTTACAGGGTTGAACCACCCCTTGTCGAATTCGGTTCTGTCGCATTATTACGTCACGCCAAAAAACTTAACTCCAATGAATTATGTGTGATTGTCGTGTATTCCTAATACATTTATCATAAAACTAGTATATGCATAAACTACAATGAAATTGATGTAAAAAGTGCGTCTTATGTACAATTTTGAGTAATATTTTGTTCCACCTGTACATCAAGGTATTACTATCTCTTCCTATAAAACTACAATCACTGATCCCATGTCATGTACGCTGACCAGTTGAAAAGACATCAAGGCAACAACAAAGACCTGTTTTTTGAAATTCGCGGGAAATAATTAGTCCAATTTAATACTCCAGATACCTAGAATATTAAATGTTATCTGCATTTGCATTGGACGTAGTGATATTTTTTCAGGTTGAAATTAAATTATTCTCGGCAAACATCAAAAAAATAAAATATCAAATGACTTTGCTGCTTTCTTTGTGTCTCTTCATCTCTGAGCTACGTTAACGGGATTGACTGCCATGTAAAACTACAAAACTACAATAAATGTCATTACTTATAAATCACGATATATAAAATGTAATGTCAATCAGTCTGTAATAGAATCGATAAATATACAGTCTGCTGTGCATAACTGGGTTCCATGCTTGGTCCGTAGCGAGGACAAAATCCATCATCACCAGAGGTCGAGCAAGAAACGCTGTGGCAGTCTTTTCAGCAGCAAAATGCCAGACATGTTCTGTACTCTGTTAAACACGAAAGGCTAGATTATGCACTTATTGACTGAGTGGGAGTGCCGTACGGGAAAATATTTGGCTCGAGGTTATGCCGTACAAATGACCAAATGAGAGCCAAATGAGAGCCAAATATTTTCCGGTACGGCCCGACCTAACTCAGTCAATAAAAATTTTATCATATGACAGCGTTTTTTAATGTTAAAAAATAAATAAAAGTGCGCGGAACTTCAAGCCGTGAAAATACGGGTTTGTACGGACCTGTCGCGAAAAGGCGTACGGACCCCATCACGTGACCATTTTCCAAAGGTTTCAGTGAGAGTGCGCGTAGGGCCGAAATACGGGTCATATGATAATAAGATTTATTTTACTTTACAAAATGCCACTCACATTTTCTGAATACTCGAGAAGAAGATGTAAAACGCATTTTGGGGTCGAAACACAAAAGAAATCTTTGAGTCTCTATCGTATAACTCTACAATAGACACCTTGCAATTCATTGTAATTCAGTTTAACTGGAGGACAAACAATGGATTCTACTGAGTTCCCAAGAGGGCCGACATCATTTGTTTTGTCCTC